GAATGCTGTGTAGTCACAAATGCAGTGCTGGAGTTTGCATCAGTTTTGATTGCACCTCAGGCCCGAAAGCTTGTTTAAAGTTAAGTACTTTAGTCAGAGTTCCTCCATACCTTATGTCCTGATTTGCCATTGAAACAAGCTGGAGAGAGAGAGACAATCTGTCCCTATGAGGGAGGGAAGGACCTCCACTGAGAGGGGGTCAGCATTACGTCCTGCTTCAGGAACACTGGGAAGGGCCAGGGCAGCAGACCTGACCTAAAAAAGCGGAGCAGAAGTAGACCTGGGAAGATTAATTACAGCTGTGATCACCTAGATACTCAAACATATCTTTTTGGTTTTACTTTTTGCTTTCTTCTGCAGGGGACAAACGGCCTATCTCTTGGTTTACATGAAAAAAAATCCTCAGTAGCTTTATCCAGGACTATCAGAGTGTCTTAGGAAGCTGTGCCTGTCACCCTGACCTGTGTGTGGAGCTCAGCACCCTCCATGCCATTGTGGATATGCACAGATGTTTTGCAAGAGACACCCACACTCAATCAGCAACCTCTGCCTTTACTTTTATTTATGAAAAGTGCAGGAGAGAATCAGCTAGAGAAGGGTTATAAGCATTTCTGAATGTTTCTTTTGTGGCATATGATTATTTATTTACTGTATCCTGGATATTTGTGTGATTCAGTGTATTACTTTCCTTTTGAAACATAGTAAAGTTAGTCCTTTTCCTTGCAGACTTACTAGTTTCTTTCATTGCTGATGCCTGCATTCCAACAGAGAGATAGTTTCCGTCTGGGAAGCCAGCATGTTGTTCCTGGGGTACATGTGCTTGCCTGAAGAGCTGTGACCTAGACAGTAAAACTGTAAGAACTTGAAGCTTACCCTAATCTTCTAGGGCCACGTTAAACACTGGCAAGGTGAGCTAGGGATCCCAGAAGTCTTCATAAACAGTTGAAAACAGGTCCAGGGCCTTTATGCTGCATGAAGGTGCATCAGTGAAATATGTTCCTAAGAACCTTACTAAAAATGAGTCACTGCAGCATTTGAGATGTGGTTGAAAGTTAGTATCATAGAGATGCTTTTGAGTCAGAGCTATTATAGTACTTCTGATCTAGAAGATGAGCCTGCATGTGTTTGTGCAGATGATTATGGTTTTAGCATGCCAATTGGGCATTTATATGCATTTTCTTGCATTATGGAGGAGAATATTCAGAGGGACGGAGACTTGGAAGCTCCTCAGTGATTTTTCCACAGCACATTCTTTGCACTGTGAGGAGAAATCAGATGCCTCTTCAGCCTGAATTTTGAGCATTTTCCTCTAGAATTTTTCAGCTTGTTGCTAACAAGATTCTTCTCCTTCCATGAAGTGGAGATGTCCCTCAAGCAGAAATTTTTCTGTAGAGAGCAATTTTATAAAGAAAAATGAGTCATTTTTATATCTCCAGATAAGTGCTGACATTTGTACTTTTGGCTCAGCCTGTGCTGCCATGGCAAGACTATGCAGCTGAAGGGAAAATGCAGAAGGAGCTAGGAAGGAAGGTTGGCAAGATGTGACAAGCGAAAGAAGAGCATTCTAAGAATCTTCTCACAAGACTTATCTCTGAGGAAAGATTATAAAAGTTTGTTTATGATGCTTTTAAAGCACTCATTATGCAAGTCTTGAAGTACTACCTTCTGTGAAAGGGTCAGTAATTCCAGTAACATATCTAAAAACACTTTCTAGCCTACGAGTATTCTTTGCATTCTGCTAAAGACAGTGTCATTTAAAATATACCAATTGAATAATAATTGTACCTATTCATAATGTCATTTACGTAAATGATGAGTATGAACTTCTGCACTGTTTTCTGTTAGCAGGTAGAAAGTGATTGGAGAGTGCTTGAAGAATAACTGTGAAATTAAATTATTATGAACTAGCAGGTGTTTATTTCATTTTATTATCAAGGTCCATTATTCTGTCTGATCTCTATATTTTTGTATTTTTTGTTTATTCTGCTGAAAAATAAATCCTGATTTATCGCTTGTGGCTAGGATGCACAGTTGTAAGGCAGTTCGTTTTGAGGAATACTATATACACTTCTAAAACACCTTTCAGACAACAAGGAAAAAAAAACAAGTTTTTGCGTCCTTTATCCAATACTCTGTATATGTGAAATAACTGAAGGACTGTAAACTGCCAGAAACTGAGAAGATAATGAGTTAAGAGACTGTTGAAGCATTTCTAATTTGTTATAATTTGAATTTTAAAAATAAGCTTTCATGTTTATGAAAAAAATGCCTCAAATATGTTATAAGAAGTAAGAAAGTATTTGTTGGCATGCATTAAATCTTTACAGTCAATGCCTGTGGGGAATAAAAAAAAAAAATCACAAGCATTTTCCTCTTCGAATAAAGCAGTATGGGACAAGATCCCTTAAAAATAAACCTTTTGGTGGTTTTGTTTTTCCCAAGCAGCATAAATGGCTCCATTAGGACCTATCATTGCCCATGGTGAGGATCTCTTCTGACCTCTAGTGACAGCACAGTTCAATTACTGAGCACTAATTAGAGCACTAACATTAATTTTGACAGTAGTTCAGTACAGATTTAATCTGAGAACTGTAGCTAGGAATTAAACATTGCAAAGGCACTAACTGCAGGAGCTTGGTTGCTTAGGAGCAAAGATCACTATTAGAATATATGTGAATAATCGTTCTAGGGGCTTCAGCAGAGCACAAAAAAAGGTGGTGCTGGGCAGTGCAATTTGGGAGAATGATGCCAAATTCTTATATTTAGGCTTATCAGATGAAATTTCCTGGTTTGACACAATGCCAGCTTTGATAATATCAGCTTTAAAGAGCTCCCCTCCAGCTCTTTGTCCATCTCTGCATTGCAATGTGCCACCAGTTCTTCTATCTGTGCCCACACAAATGTTCTTGGATTTCTGCTATAAACAAAGTGATGGGACCAACTAAAGCCTCCTGTAGAGGTAGTTTTTTTTGGTTTGCCTTTTAACAGCTGGTTTATCTAGCAATTCATACACTACACTGAAGTAGCTGTAATTTATTTCACCATAAACCCTCTAGGCACTTCTAGCTCAAAATAAAAATATTCTGCTTTTCACAATTCTGGCATTCTTGGATTTTATGCCACTTGCATGAAGGAATAAATCTAATTTTTCATTATGGAAAACTCATTTATATTTTGATACAAAATGACCATTGTCTTTAAAGACAATGGAATGTTGTGAATGTCATTGCAAAATTGGTGTTTGTGCAGAAGAGAGTCAGGGGTTGTTATTCAGATTTAAAGGCAAGTTTGCAAGGTGATTGATAAAAAAAAAATGAATCTTTTAATTACAAAGTGAAAAAAAGATGATTCCTGAAAAATAAACAAGGAACGCCACACTAAAATTTTGGTGGAGTGATTTTAAAATCACATTTTAATGGTCTTAAATCTGGTAGACCCCTTTATGCCACTATTTACGTTAAAGTAACCTCTGCCTTACCTGGCCCTGAAGTACTACAGTGACAGCCACTGGCGGATGAGGTGGCAAAGCTCTGTCCTGTGATACTTGCGTTGTCAGGGTGGGCAGCTCCAGGGGGTTGCTCACATGGGCCATACATCACCTTTCAGGTCACCTTTCTTTGAACACAAGAGCAAAGGGGCTATTTAGTGAGCTCCTACCTGAATTCTTTTTGGTTGTCTAGGTACAACTGCTGTGAACACATGTTTCTAGGATCTTGCTAATACTTGAGGCACTCTGGTGCAGAGAAAGGCAGAGGCTAGTGAGTTGAGGTTTTGATACTTTTTCAGTAAGCTTGAATCTTTTTTCCTAATTCAAATCACAAGAATTTTGCCTAAGGAAAGACTGAATGCAACTTTGGTGATATTGATTATCAGCACATGTGATTATCAGCACAGCACATGTGAAAAGGCTACATTTCTGTAAGTCTCATTCATATAAGGAGTCTTACTAAATCTTGACAGGTGTGCTGTGAAATTATGTTGCCTCAGGGAGAAGGTGAAACAGCCCCAGACTGTGTGCTGGTGTTTGGCTGTTGAGCCCTAAAGGGCTCTGCTGTACCTGGAGCCTGTTCGCCAGGTTCTGAATTCAAGACTGGGCATTTAATGTGCAAACTATTGGTTTATCATATGCTTTGATTTCCTTTAGATAAAGAAAAGATCTTCATTTGAGGGGTGCTTGAGGTCTGAAAAATAAAAATCAGTGCAAACCACGTAATGCCTTCAATTCCATGGGGAAGGAAGGAGAGCCTATGTCTGGCTGTGACAGGGGAATTTAATGATTATCCTAGTGCTGCAATCACCCTCTTCTCCCAGCGCCCTCCCAGAGCAGAGCTGGTAACGTGAATGCTGCACCCACTGCTGGACTGTGAGAGCTCATGACCCGGAGCAGCAAACGGCAAGACTGGGATTCTTTATAAACCAGAATTCTTTATAAACCAGGGTGGTCCCACAGTCTCTGAGGAGTAGACAGTGGAAGTGTTCACATTAGATCTATTTATTCTGAAGCAAGACATGGGTTTACTGACCACATGGCTCCATGAGGTATGTGCCCTGCTACCATCTGCATACCCAGGGCTCTGGGTTCCCAAAAAGTGTGTTTCAAAACTGTGTTTCCGAAACACAGCCAAAGGATGAGTAGGACTTCCTGACTGAAAAATCAGCTTTTGCAGCAGATACCCTTGTCCTGATTGTTTCAGTCAAGCTGTAAATTACTTTTTGTTTCAAATTCCTCTTCAAATGTCTTAAATTAGCTCTCATATTTTCTTGCAGTACCAGTAATTTGAGCCAGAAGGGTAAGAAATGAGAAGGCTGTTTTGCAAGTACAGCTGCCCTCAGCCAGAAATTCTTATTGTTTGCTGAAACATCAGAGCAGTTTCCTCCAGAGAGCAGAGCACACCAAATGCTTTCATTGGAGCATTGCTAGCTGTTCCTGAGTTTGAGACAAAACCTTTGTCTCCCTGCTTTTGATTATCTTGATTAAGTTACATAGAAATAACAATAAGCACAGTCTTAAATACTGTGGGATTTTGATGATGATGAGATTTAAATTCTCTTGTTCTATCATGCTTGTCTTTGAGCTTTTTGCAAAATTCAGAGTTGTAAAAAAAAAGAGATTGGCTGTTTTTCTGTATTATTATGCATGACAAGAGGCTGAGAGCGTTATTGATACTGGATAGCTAGTAATAATCTAGTTCACTTTTCAGATTCAGGTTGTTCTTTACAATGCTATACCTTGGTCAAGAACTAATTATAGTCATAAGGTAGTTAAAGTTAGTGCTTATTAAGACTGTTCCTAGGGCCCAAGAAATATATAGCATCTGCTTTGGAAGAAGAGCAGGGGTAGTACCACATAAAAACATACATTTTCATTTCCACCCTTCAGTATGTAGTACAGCACAGGGGGATATGCTGGCTGGGGGCTAAAGGCCTTGTTCACACAAGTTGGACACTTAATCAATTCCACCTTACAAAAATATGCAGTATAGAGCTAAGGTGAAACAATATGATATCCCTTGCTGTGCACCATTGCTATTCTTTTTCTAATAGTTGCCTTACCAACTGGGTTGTTGCAATTTAAACTCAAGGATGTATTACCTTGAAATATGACAGCCGACACTCCAGAGGACTGTGCTGCCATTCAGAGGGACCTAGACAGGTTGGAGAGTTGGGCAGAGAGGACCCTCATGAGGTTCAACAAGGACAAAAATGCAGGGTCCTGCACCTGGGGAGGAATAACCCCAGGTACCAGGACAGATTAGGA